TTTGGAGCTATACGCGGTATCACAAATTTGGCAAAAAACTACTTCGTGGTGTGAGACCTAAGCTAACTACTAGGTGCAGGTTTAAAATGAGAGACTACGTAATCAATAATTGTAGATGTTTTTGAGATTTATGAATATTTGTCAGAGACTTTTGAGTAGCACACTCATCAGCAAAGTCGATATTAAAATCTCCGCACCAAATTTTCCTACTTTTTATACGTTATGCGTCAAGTAGATTAAAAAGGTGCTCGAGAAAGAGGTATTCATTTGATTTGGGAGTTCTATAAATACAAATAATAAACAAATCGATGTTTTTGTTGCTTACTAAGGAGAATTTGAAGAAATTTTCTGTTAGTAAAAAATCTTATTTGGATATAGCGGAGAAGTTATCGTTTAAGGATAAAATTAGACTTCCATCATGGTCTGCATTCTGTAATATCTACTAATTATAGTGCATTTTCAATAAAAATTGGTTTACCAACTTGTAACCAGTGCTATGTAATAGCCACTATTTGGGGAAACCCTAGCTGTTCCAAAAACAAAAACAATTCCTCTGTTTTCTTCCGCATCGATCTAATATTAATTAGAACCATTCTTAAATTATTAACTGCATCCAGTACGATAAGTTGGGGATTCTAGTTCCCCAGAATACGTCATATTAACTAAAAATTTGTCTTAGGTAAATCGGCAGTAAAATAACGGTTATTGTACTGCCTTAGCATTTGTAGGTATATTCTTCGTTCCGCGGAGACTAATGATCTGTAGGGAGAGAGATCTTTGTCCACTTCAGCTGCGCCAATATCATATAAGTCATGATAATAATTATAATAAATAGTATTCAAGACAATCCTACATCAAATACACGTCGAATTGCCCGTAAAGTAACGTCAATCATACAACAGAAGATGATCCTGATGGTAGAATATAAAAGGAAATTTGACAGCCGAAAGATATTTAAATATGATTAGAGACGAAATTGTTTCTGAAAAGAAAAATGCTTGTTTCAACAGGACAGAGCAACACACCATTATGATGAACATGTAGGTGCTTACCTGAACGAAATATTTATCAATAAATGGATTGGAAGAAGAGGTACTACTGAGTGGCAAGCTAGATCACCAGATCTTACGCCATTGGATTTTTTTCGTAGGGTTATCTCAAAAATAAAGTATAAAAATAACAAAAATAATAATAATAATAATAATAATACTCTCCCTAATTCACCCCCAAACGAGTGGTAAGCCCTTGAAGCCGACTGAATGACTTGTGTAGGGGAAGCAACGGCTATTATTATTATTTGCCGTGGCGCTCCGGGGCGACCTAAAGATAATTGATGGTGCCATTTGACTTACAGGTGAGGAAAACCTGGAAAACCTCACCCACCATCATCGAGACGGTAATGCATGGCGATTTAATAATCTGCCTGCATGTCATATCAACAGAAATTGAATTTCTATTAATACGGCACACATCAAATCCTATATCGAACCATGTAACTTAATTAAAAATCCACATGGTCTGGTGTAGGATTCGAAGCCCCTATGTCTCTTACCACAAACTTACATATAAATGAATATAATAGCGTGAGACCGCTACAACTCCGACCCGATATATGCAACACAACCGAATAGCATTGCAAATCTCAGAGAAAGGATAACAACAGAAATAAGGAATATTTCACGTCAAACTTTAAATAATGTTAGGCAGGAGTTTTATAAGATATTTGATTATTGTCAAGAATTAGGTGGAGAATATTTTGAGCATTTACTTTAATCAAATAAAATTAGTATTTTATGTATTTATTTTATTAAAGGACAAATTTCACAATTTCACTCTGTATTATTCATATAGATCATAAATATTATAATGAAGTCAGCTTATTAAGGAGCTTTAAAAAATTTAAAATGATACAGGGTGTTTCATTGAAAAAAAAGTAATAGTGCTAGACGTACATCAGCCACCCTGTATATTTATATTTTCGTTCGGAGAATGTACAATTTAGTTTGAAAGTTGAGGTGTCCCAGTGTTTTTTATCATTTTCTAAAATAGGGTCAAAAATTATTTTATTCCATAAGTGGTTTCCACACTGTACTATTTATTATAGTGTTATATTAGTGGTTGTCTGAATTGAGTAGTAAGAAAGAGGAGAGACGAAAAACAAAAAAATCAAAGATTTAAAAATTTAAACAGTAAGATATTTTTAAATTTTTAATATTTAATATATTTGAAAAAAAAATTATGTAAATACAAAATTTGACGAACTTGATCGCCTGGTAACGAAATTCCTTAGAAAATTATCAACATTTTTGTAATCTACTTAGCGTCCTTAATTAAAAATGGGGTTACCAAAAAAAAACATCGATCGTGTCATTCCTTCTACACGAATCATCCTGTATGTATTAATTTAATTTGCTAGAATAAAAAATTGTCACTGACATCCTTACCCACATGTTCATCACCCTGTATATATATTTAAATTTAAATTTTTTTCCGAATTTTTTTAAAATTTTATTTCATACTATACGAACACGCTGTATACGTTAAAAATTTAATGAATCTGATTTAATTTTTGTATATTTCAATATAACGTATCGATTTATTGTAAATATAAATACTGTGTAAAGAAAGTCCGCATATTTTTCAAGTAAAAAAATCAACTCTTCAACATACAACGACATAAAATTTTCTATTTGCATAAGAGATACTAAAAGTTTAAACACTTTCTTCATTTAAAATTCCTATTACACCATAACCACAACTACTAAAAAACGCGATAAAGCACACCTTTTTGAAGGTAAAATTAATAACTAGAGTTTTTGTGACTGTATTTTGAACTAAACTATCTAGATATAGGTATATTAATGTATTCTCTCTTATCGTACTGCCTGACATTCTGTTTACCTAGTACCTTATATTGTACATATATAAGAGCGAATAAATATTACATGTGTACATATTTTAACAAGGTATTTGCTAATTCGAATAGGTAAATATGCGAAGACGTGTAGGTATGTATTTTCTGCGACTCTTATTTTTTATACAGGTACAGGTTATTGAGTTTCTTCTAGAAACAAGTCGGCTTCAAAAGTTTCTTATTTTGATTCTATTCTACTACCAATTTTGATAAGATAAGATAAGAAAAATATGATCAAGTCCATTTCACTTCATCGTTAAAGCTCAAAGCGTAATATACCTGTGTCTCATTTAATTTTACATTGACACATAAAACTCAAGAATGAAGGAGGATATCTAAGAAGTTAAAGAAAAAGTTTGAAGATGTGAAGATACTTTAAGCTATAAAGAAAATTTCTCTATGCAGTTGGGTGATATAGAAGATATCTAAGTAGCTAAAGATGAAGCTTGAAGACGTGAGGGATACTTTAGGCTTTAGGATCAGCTAATCTATGAATTAGACTAAGCTAACGTAGATTCAATAGGAAGTTACTCTAGGTTCTAGAGGAAGATACTCTGGTTTTGGGAGCAGATGTACTGAGCTCTAGGAAAGGTACTCTAGACGCAATAAAAAAATTTGAACATATCTTCACTAGTTTCCTATATATTTACCCAAAAAACATCTTCATCAATAAAGCTAATGAAAGCTAATGAAAGCTAATGGAAGCTAATGAAAGCTAATGAAAGATAATGGTAGCTAATGAAAGCTAATGAAAGCTAATGAAAGCTAATGAAAGCTAATGAAAGCTAATGAAAGCTAATGAAAGCTAATGAAAGCTAATGAAAGCTAATGAAAGCTAATGAAAGCTAATGAAAGCTAATGAAAGCTAATGAAAGCTAATGAAAGCTAATGAAAGCTAATGAAAGCTAATGAAAGCTAATGAAAGCTAATGAAAGCTAATGAAAGCTAATGAAAGCTAATGAAAGCTAATGAAAGCTAATGAAAGCTAATGAAAGCTAATGAAAGCTAATGAAAGCTAATGAAAGCTAATAAAAGCTAATGAAAGCTAATGAAAGCTAATGAAAGCTAATGAAAGCTAATGAAAGCTAATGAAAGCTAATGAAAGCTAATGAAAGCTAATGAAAGCTAATGAAAGCTAATGAAAGCTAATGAAAGCTAATGAAAGCTAATGAAAGCTAATGAAAGCTAATGAAAGCTAATGAAAGCTAATGAAAGCTAATGAAAGCTAATGAAAGCTAATGAAAGCTAATGAAAGCTAATGAAAGCTACTTAAAGCTTTGTAACTTATATGAGAAGCCACTTTAAATTCTAAAGATAGCTTTTTTATACTCTGAGGTTATATACTTTAAGCTCTGGGGTCCCAGCTACTCTTTCAGTTAGATTATTGAAATCTAATTTCTATAGGAATCTACTCTAGGCTCTATAGAAAGCTACTCTGGTAAAAGCTATACTGAGCATCAGCTATCAATTTTGACAAGTCAAAATATGGTCCATTTTAATTCGCCGTTAAAGCCAAAAGCTTTCCATAATATATCAGTATCTCATTATTTTTACATTAGGACCTAAAATCCAAGAATATAGAAGACATCCAAGTAGTTAAAGATAAAGTTTGAAGATGTGAAGTTACTTTAAGTTTTAAAGCAAGCTTCTCTGTGCTGGGTAATAAAGTTTAAGCATTCGGGTCAGTAACTCTATGAATTAGACTAAGTTAATCTAGATTCTATATGAAGCTGCTCTAAGCTTTAAAGAAGCCAATCTATTTCTGGAAGAAGCTATACTGAGTTCTAGGGGAAGGTACTCAAAAAAGAGAATTTTAACGTACCTCCACTATCTTCCTGTAAAGCACCAACGTCAACAACAAATCATCTTAGTTATGATAAAGAATGTTAGTTTTATGTATATAAAAAAATAATATTGTTCTCTTGCTACGCCTATGTTCGTACTTAAACATTAGCGGAAGTAAGCCATAGAATTACTCCTTAATAATATTATTAACGTTAGTTTCTTCTCGTCGGTGTGTAGGTGTTTAATATTGATGTACGTATTGCATTGCACACGGAACACGATAAAATAAATATCGACTCACCGTCTTCAGAAAGTATAGATGGACTGGACGGACTCAAAGTGCAATTGGTGTACGACGATCGTTGAGAAGCCAAAGCATTGTCCGAAGATAGTGTCTTTAAATCTAAAAAAAAATTACCTTTACTCATAAATATATTGCTAAATGCAAGAAATATTTGTCTAAAATGAAACTGATTTTGTCTAAAATTTTTCTGAAATTTGTCTGAAATTTTACTGATTTTTTTAAATTTGTCTTAAATTTGTCTTAAATTTGTCTTAAATTTGTCTTAAATTTGTCTTAAATTTGTCTTAAATTTGTCTTAAATTTGTCTTAAATTTGTCTTAAATTTGTCTTAAATTTGTCTTAAATTTGTCTTAAATTTGTCTTAAATTTGTCTTAAATTTGTCTTAAATTTGTCTTAAATTTGTCTTAAATTTGTCTTAAATTTGTCTTAAATTTGTCTTAAATTTGTCTTAAATTTGTCTTAAATTTGTCTTAAATTTGTCATAAATTTGCCTTAAATTTGTCTTAAATTTGTCTTAAATTTGTCTTAAATTTGTCTTAAATTTGTCTTAAATTTGTCTTAAATTTGTCTTAAATTTGTCTTAAATTTGTCTTAAATTTGTCTTAAATTTGTCTTAAATTTGTCTTAAATTTGTCTTAAATTTGTCTTAAATTTGTCTTAAATTTGTCTTAAATTTGTCTTAAATTTGTCTTAAATTTGTCTTAAATTTGTCTTAAATTTGTCTTAAATTTGTCTTAAATTTGTCTTAAATTTGTCTTAAATTTGTCTTAAATTTGTCTTAAATTTGTCTTAAATTTGTCTTAAATTTGTCTTAAATTTGTCTTAAATTTGTCTTAAATTTGTCTTAAATTTGTCTTAAATTTGTCTTAAATTTGTCTTAAATTTGTCTTAAATTTGTCTTAAATTTGTCTTAAATTTGTCTTAAATTTGTCTTAAATTTGTCTTAAATTTGTCTTAAATTTGTCTTAAATTTGTCTTAAATTTGTCTTAAATTTGTCTTAAATTTGTCTTAAATTTGTCTTAAATTTGTCTTAAATTTGTCTTAAATTTGTCTTAAATTTGTCTTAAATTTGTCTTAAATTTGTCTTAAATTTGTCTTAAATTTGTCTTAAATTTGTCTTAAATTTGTCTTAAATTTGTCTTAAATTTGTCTTAAATTTGTCTTAAATTTGTCTTAAATTTGTCTTAAATTTGTCTTAAATTTGTCTTAAATTTGTCTTAAATTTGTCTTAAATTTGTCTTAAATTTGTCTTAAATTTGTCTTAAATTTGTCTTAAATTTGTCTTAAATTTGTCTTAAATTTGTCTTAAATTTGTCTTAAATTTGTCTTAAATTTGTCTTAAATTTGTCTTAAATTTGTCTTAAATTTGTCTTAAATTTGTCTTAAATTTGTCTTAAATTTGTCTTAAATTTGTCTTAAATTTGTCTTAAATTTGTCTTAAATTTGTCTTAAATTTGTCTTAAATTTGTCTTAAATTTGTCTTGAGTTTGTCTTAAATTTGTCTTGAGTTTGTCTTAAATTTGTCTTAAATTTGTCTTAAATTTGTCTTAAATTTGTCTTAAATTTGTCTTAAATTTGTGTTAAATTTGTCTTAAATTTGTCTTAAATTTGTCTTAAATTTGTCTTAAATTTGTCTTAAATTTGTCTTAAATTTGTCTTAAATTTGTCTTAAATTTGTCTTAAATTTGTCTTAAATTTGTCTTAAATTTGTCTTAAATTTGTCTTAAATTTGTCTTAAATTTGTCTTAAATTTGTCTTAAATTTGTCTTAAATTTGTCTTAAATTTGTCTTAAATTTGTCTTAAATTTGTCTTAAATTTGTCTTAAATTTGTCTTAAATTTGTCTTAAATTTGTCTTAAATTTGTCTTAAATTTGTCTTAAATTTGTCTTAAATTTGTCTTAAATTTGTCTTAAATTTGTCTTAAATTTGTCTGAAATTTGTCTTAAATTTGTCTTAAATTTGTCTTAAATTTGTCTTAAATTTGTCTTAAATTTGTCTTAAATTTGTCTTAAATTTGTCTTAAATTTGTCTTAAATTTGTCTTAAATTTGTCTTAAATTTGTCTTAAATTTGTCTTAAATTTGTCTTAAATTTGTCTTAAATTTGTCTTAAATTTGTCTTAAATTTGTCTTAAATTTGTCTTAAATTTGTCTTAAATTTGTCTTAAATTTGTCTTAAATTTGTCTTAAATTTGTCTTAAATTTGTCTTAAATTTGTCTTAAATTTGTCTTAAATTTGTCTTAAATTTGTCTTAAATTTGTCTTAAATTTGTCTTAAATTTGTCTTAAATTTGTCTTAAATTTGTCTTAAATTTGTCTTAAATTTGTCTTAAATTTGTCTTAAATTTGTCTTAAATTTGTCTTAAATTTGTCTTAAATTTGTCTTAAATTTGTCTTAAATTTGTCTTAAATTTGTCTTAAATTTGTCTTAAATTTGTCTTAAATTTGTCTTAAATTTGTCTTAAATTTGTCTTAAATTTGTCTTAAATTTGTCTTAAATTTGTATTAATTTGTCCTAAATTTGTATTAATTTGTCTTAAATTTGTCTTAAATTTGTCTTAAATTTGTCTTAAATTTGTCTTAAATTTGTCTTAAATTTGTTTTAAATTTGTCTTAAATTTGTCTTAAATTTGTCTTAAATTTGTCTTTAATTTGTCTTAAATTTGTCTTAAATTTGTATTAATTTGTCCTAAATTTGTATTAATTTGTCCTAAATTTGTTTGAAATTTTTCTAAAATTTGTCTACCCATTCATCGGTCATTTGGCTGTTAGTTGCCTATTATCTGTTGTTAGTCGTCTGTTATTTACCTGTCATTTATCTGTTACTTATCTAGTAAGATACCACATAGTCCCACACAAATAAAATCTGTATTTAAACAAAGTTATATATCGGGATTCGGATTCGGCCATAATCGGGTCTAAAGAGTGGTTCAACAATTGCTGATACTCGCATACAATTCAACTTTTTCTCCCGCGAGGGTTCTAGGGTAACAATCATGTATGTTTTATTTTTATTTTGAGATGTCAATTACTCTTCAGATCTGATGATGGTCTGAGGCCGAAACTGGTTGTCCTCTTACTTTGTTTTGTCTTACTATTTAATTTGACCACATTAGAGCACTTGGCTACCCCTTATTCAGTTGTTATTTGTCTATCATTATTTTTCTGTTACTAATTGTCTGTTAATATTTATCTATTCTTATTTGTTTGTTATTATTTGTCTGATATTATTTGTCTATTATTATTTATATATCCATTATTTGTCACATTATATCTGTTGTTTGTCCGCTATTATTTTGTAATTTGTCTGTAACTATCATTCGTCTGTTACTTATTGACAATTTTCATGGTTAAATTTGATGATTTTAATTAATAACCGTATTTACCTTCTTTGGTTAGAGTTGGGGAAGAAGAACTGGAAGAACTTGGTTTTTTCGTTAACAACAAATTACTAGGTGGTATGCTAGTCGAGGTACCTGTAAAGAAAAAACAATTATTGTTTTATGAAATTATGAAATTTTCTCTTTTAATTCGAAATATTTATACCTTCTTAGACCCAATAGAACATAAATTAAAACGAGGAAAGTTGATAATTAAAAATAAATGTTCGCGGAACGTAATTTTTCTTGAAAATTCATAAATAAAAGTTCTTTCTAAGGAAGCATGCTAAAAGCTAATATTTCAATGTCCTGAGTCTTGACTAATACGGAATAATATTTACAAGCAATTTATTAACAGCCTCAGGTCATTCTTCATTTTGAATTAATAATAAGGTGTTTAAAAGAACATTGCATAAATATGTAGCAAATTGGACAGGGACGACGTTTACACAAAATTTATCATACCAACAGTGGAAAAATTCAATTATTAACTTCATTATTAGATACAACCAAAAAATACTTAAAAGGTTTGGTCACCGTGAATTCATTCAAGTTTTATAGTGCTACTAGTATCGACCTCGAAGAGTAATCATCAGGCCTGTAGACAAAAACCGACACTCCAAATAAAGAAATGTACAGCATTGTCTATAGAAAACCGGCAAAAAAAGTTGTTAAAAATTTTACCCTACAGCTTCTTTGTGTGTGGAAAATGTATGTATTTACTTAATTACCCAAACATTTACAGGGATGATACAATAGGTTGTACAGAATAATCGGAAAAAGCTTATAACTTAAGGTGAGGCAGGAAAATCATCAGATTTTTTTCAACATATTTAGAAATGAATAGTATCAAGGCAATCTTATTTGGTTCAAAAATAGTATTACTTGTATGATCACTGGTTCTGATGGTTATATACCTGATATTCAAGGACCACATTTTTCAATTAGCGCTAATAATGATGTCAGAGTACTTATTTAAGAACTAATTGCAAATTCTCTACCAATTTTATTAAACAGATTTAAGAATATATATCATATACACAGTAGCATAGTATTGATTTGAAACGGCAAAGATTCGTCTATCTATACTCGGACAAAATATTGGAGAAGGTGAGTCATATGCATGATCAACACTGTTGTCTATAAATGAAAATTCCGACAGAGTTAGCATAGGCGGCGTATCAAATACCAAATAATTATTTATTATATATTAGGTATTTGTTGGTAAACTTGTTTGTCAACATCTTTATTTAAACAAAGATGATGCGTTAAATATACATTTTTGATAGTTTTCAAGAAATGAATATATTTATTACCTAATGACTTCGTTATCTGTATTTAATGGTTTTAAAATGTGTTTCAAGTAAATAAACGACAGGCGGGTTACAGATTGAATATTGTCAGCACAGGCACAAAGACAGTTGAAAACTAACTTTCGACGAAGTTTGATTTGTATCGCTTTAACTATTTAACACTTTTTTGTATAAGTGCTCTTTTAAAGTTTATTTTTATTGAAATAAAAAATATATACGTGTAGGTGATACTTAAATGTGTTCCTATGGAGCCACTTTTCCGAAATTTGATTTATTATTTTTTTATGATTTTCTTAATATTTTTAGAAGAAAAAAACTATATCAACAAATATTGGAAAGGTGACTGCGAAACACAGATATAACATTTACCTACATGTCCATATTTTGTCTTTCATTAAAAATAAAAAATTAGCTTCAAAAGTAGGGGCCATTTTTCGTATTAGAGATAATTCCCAAAGTAAACAATCCTATTAATATTATTATACTATGTATATTTAACGCATCCTCTTTGTTTTAATAAAGATTTTGACAAAGCAATTTAATAAATTTTGGTAACAGATAATAAAAAATAAATAATTCTTTAATATTTAATAAGCCGCGCACCGCCTATACTGACTCTGTTACTTTTCGCCGAAATTTTCATTCAAAAACAAAAGCAAACTCCAATGTTTTGATTCAGTAAATAATAAACTCATTCGAGATTCAATGAGAAACTAAATAATTTACAATTTGCAAAAAAAATAGTTATCGTGCAAACGTATTTCAAAAGAATCCAAGCTTGGTGTCCTTCGATCGAATGCAAATGAATAAATTGCATTTCACGATGTAAATATATGTTTATTATATTTTTTTTAATCCTTGTTATGAATAAAGTCGCAGTATATACCGTAAAGTTGCGTAATAAAGACACTTTTACTGTGAGTGGGTGGAATAGTTGTTATATAATAATGAACATTTCGTTCTTTAATATATAATTTGTTTGATTAAAAAATATAAATATGATGAAAAGCAAAATATACACAAGATACCTAAAAAGGAATTTTAAAGGATTATTATATTTCACCCACACAGAAAATTTGTAATTAGTGTAAGGTACTTTCTTAATTGTAGGCTGCGTTCTCTTCTTCAGATAAGTAAACGTAGTACTCATTTATGAACTAATTGTGAACCATAGTCCAAAGCCAAAACTTATAACCTCACTTTCTATGTAGTTCCCGTCCTTTGCGGGCTTACTTTTCATTTTGGTGCCAAGTTGTGTACACACGTCAAATCGAAAATGTTTTAAATTTTAATAGAATATAGGAAAATATTATTATTCATAAACAGAAACGTCGGACAACGACTTAAAATTGTGTCGTTTAAGTAAGAAGGTAAAAACACTTAAGAAACCAAATCATGACTTGTTTCCATATATCCTTAAATTGCCTTATGATGGCTCCACCCAAAGTCAATCCAGAGAGTAAGGCAGCAAATACCAATATAGATCTTAATTAAGGTTAAAGTCTTTACAGATCAAGTTAGAGTCTAGTCTATCCTTACTTGGTAAGACACTCATCTTATATCTGAAACTAGAAGAAATCTTCTTACATAAGAATTTAAAAGTGACCTCATCGAAATAATAGGAGAGGCTAAGTTAAGACCGAAGCAAATCTGCTAAAGCTATGAAGCATTTAGGTAAACATTTGAAGCAGATGCCTAAGTTAATGGTATTACGTAAGACTGTAAAATTCAAAAGTTCCCCCGGACAATAGAAGTACTTAGAAGTAAACAGAGCCATTCACACAACAGAGCTGGGAGATCTAAGTAAACACTACAGATTCTGCAGAGATATCTCAGACAATCTGTTTATCTGTTTGTAAGGTCTTATACATTAAAGGTTACTCCTTAAATTTTATCTCTCTGTCTGTACAAAATATGATTTCTACTAAACCTATCAATCTTTACTTGAGTATCAGTAGATCTTATCAGAAATAAATGATCTACTTGAGATTAAGAACATACACTCTTATAAGCCATGTAAGAAACAATTTATATCCAATATTTTCTTAGTAAATAAATCAATGAGAAAATTTTTGTTTAGTTATAAATAAAAAAAATCGGAATCAGCTCATTGAAACGAGAGTTTATATAACTTTGATCACAAAAAAATCCTACTTTATAATTAATAACAAGATCTCAAGCAAAAGTATTTAAGATTCGTTTTCAATGATATTTTTAGCAAAATTGGGAAGCATGTGATATCCACTTAAAACGAGACAATTTACTCATAAACATCCTGTATCATGCAAAACATGATATCTAGCACGTTTAGGTCTGAGATGACAAATCTCATGAAAATATCGTTGAATTGTGACCACAGTAAGTTTGTTTTAAAATATAGAATAAAGTTTACTTATATTATTGTTCTTTAGTTGAAGTGGTCTTATTCAAAGAAACTGTAAATCCCTCCTACTTTTGCTTCTGCTATGAGAGAGTAAGAAGGAGAAGAACAGTAGGCCAAAGTTAGTAGTTTCTGCACCATAGCCGTAAGTTATAAGTTGTGAGAAGTTTTCCTAGGTTGAGTCACTTTGCTTAGACGTAAACTTTTGACATAAATGAACATGCCTCAGGCGTGGTAGTAGTATCCTTTTTGGACTACCAAACTTTGGTGGTACCTGTTTAGAAGGGTTTTAAGTTCAGAACTAATTAAAATCGACCCTGCTCCCTTACTTTAAGTATCTGTCGACAGAACTCAACGCCCTTTGGCAAGAAACTTTTCCCTGGTAGCAGGATTTTATCTAACAAGTTTTTACCCCAAAATGCTCGGACTCCAATACTATTGAGATTATGTTCGCATCTATTTCAACTCTACCTTAAAAGAATATATGGTGGAACTGAAATTTTGGTGGAAGCTTTGTATGACAGAGAGAATAGACTCCTTCATAGGTGATATGTAAGATCTTAAATTTCTGCAAGGACGGTTCCAGGAGGGTTTAACATATACGGTCAGCACTTCCTTAATTTTGTCACTGGACATTGCTCTGGACTTTAGGGTCCACGGGATGACTTAACTTGGAACTCATTAACAGAACTGAATACCTTCAGGGATTGGTTTTTCAATAAAGAAATACCTGTTATAGAATTATCAGATAAATTAGTGATATTATTAGCATTTTTACTGCACATAGAATAAATTAGAGTATATTATTTGTAGAACTGATATGGTTAAGTCATAAGGTAGAAACAAATTACAGCAGTCTTTAACTCTCTCTCTCTCTCTCTCTCTCTCTCTCTCTCTCTCTCTCTCTCTTTCAGACCTTAAGTCGTTGGGTAAAGTTGACTGAACTTAGATATAAGGTTCACAGCAGGCTGGACAAGTGAATCTTCTGTTTTGCCGTTTTATAACCGGCCTATAAGGCAGGATCCCACCTCTTTTGCAGAAACCATTTTAATTTACAGTTCATTAAATTTCTAGAGGCTTTCGACGGCTAGACAGAGAAAGCACTACTGACAGGCATCCCGACGGATTTACGCAATGAAAGTACACTCTGCGCATCAAGTATTTCACTATTTCATTCAGACGTAAATGTCAGATGTAAATTTCGCTAAAACATTTCTTTTATTTTCGTTTGTGTTTTTTGCTCATTACAGTTTAATAGAACCTAAGTATGGAGTTTAATAGCAAATTAAGAGGCCGCGTGATTAACAGTCAATCTCGCGAAATAATAGCCAATGTTATAGAGTTTATGAGAAGAGAAGGAAACTTTAATTCACCTTCAATACCATTTAAAAATGTAAATGATC